ATTAAAAACCACAGTGTTTTCTTTGTTACTTAGATGACATTTTTGGAGTGAAAATTATCATTAAAGTAATACATGACTCCAACAACAAAAAGGGATTTTAGTATATTAAAGAGTACTGTATTAATTTGCTACACTTTTGTTACTTAGAAAAGGTACTACTTTCCTTGGATTTCTACTTTATGACTTTGTATGCTATAACATGGGCTTATGACATTCCCTGAAGAAATAAAGTCAACCTGGAATTTCATAGCACTCCAAACTTAGAGAGAACAGCTGTTCACATATTTTAGCATTTCACATTTGCCTAACTTATCAATGGCTCTACAATTGCTAAAGCACATGTCAGCTTATTTGAATATAATTATTTTTTGAAGTAATTGTGACCACAAAACATCTTTTTTTACATGAAAAGCTGTATGTCATTGAAATTAGTCAAATGATGTCTTTCTGAAGCATAAATCTGAGGTACTCAGTGTTTTTAATAAAATAGCGCAATTGCAGGGGGGTGGGGGGGAGAAAAAGTGATAATGAGAAAAAAAGCACTGATCTAAATAAAGCACTACATGAACTGCTTTGGAGCTTTTATTTTTGGGAAATCCTTATTTTGGATGCCAAGGGGCAGCTGCACCTGAAGAACAATCCAATAAATGTATTTTGTTTCATATTTTGTAGAAGGCAATTGTCAACCAGTAAATAATACCCTTGATACTTGTAATTATTACACAAGGAGTATGTATGCATGTTACATACAGAGTATGTAAGATTTACTTATTTATTTCAAGAAGAGAGTGCACACAAGTGGGAGGGGCAGAGGGAGAGGAAATTGCAAGCAAACTGCCCTGAGGGCCGAGCCCAATGCAGGGCTCCACCTTACAAGCCCGAGACCATGACCTGAGCCCAAACCAAGTCAGGCACCAACCAGGCACCCTCCAATAAGGTTTTTGATTATTTTTTGCAACTAGAAATGGTTTTTAGAACTGAAATAATATTTCAGCTAAACAAAACATTGCTAAACATTGACATTTGATAAAAAGTTGCCTTCTATAATTTCTGTACATTATACTTGCTCTGAAAAAGGTGTGATGCCCTAATGATAAAAAGATTTCTAAACAACAAAAGTATCAAGTCCATTTAAACAAGCATAAATGTGAAAGAAAGCCAAAACAATACACATTTTAAAAATAACATGAGAGATTATATACATGGCCTTAGAGAAGGAAAATTAATTTTAAATAGGACACAAATGACACCAACATCAACAAATTTAATAAACTAACCTAAGGATCTGGAAAATTTTCCTTGTAAAGAGCCAGACAGCAAATTTTTAGGCCTTGAGGGCCAGATGACCTCTCTCCATTATTTCACTACTCAACTCCACCACTGAAGCCACAGATTATACACAAATGAATCACCAGCGAGGTAACAGGTAGGGATTGTGAGAGGAGCACGAGGGAGGCTTTAGAAGTGCTGCCAGTGTTCGTTTTGACATGGGCGCTGGATATGTAATAATTCACTGAACTCTAGACTTAAGATTTATAGATTTTTTAATACACTTGCTATACATACAAAAATAGGATTTATTAAAAAATAAAATACATTTTACTTTAGCAATTGAAGAAGGCATCAGAAAGGAAACTGAAACCTGTGTAGAAAAAGCACTACATATTGATAGATTTTGCACCTAAAGTAGTAATAGAGAGAAATTATATCCTTACACGGATATAATAAAAAGCTTTATACAGTAAATTCATCTCCAAAAAAAAGTTACAAAACACAGCCTATAACCATAGATAGCTGAAGGAAGGAATAAAGGTAAAAGCAGAAGCTAATAAAAATAATAGTAAAGGGGAACCTGGGTACCACAACTGGTTAAGCATCTCAGCTCAGGTCACGATCTCAAGGTTGTGAGACTGAGTCCCACATCAGGCTCCACCCTCAGCATGGAGTCTGCTTGAGATTCTCTTCCTCTGCCTCCCTCCCTGTGCTCACACATATGTAAGCATGTGCACTCTCTCTCAAATGAATATTTTCTTTAAAAAAAAAAAAAGGAAAAACAACATAGTGAATATCAATAAAACCAAAAGTTGGTTCCATGAAGAATAAAATATTATGTCAAAAATTATTCACTCCAAAATAGAAAAACTATTAGGAACAAAATGGAACAAATTAAACATTTTAATTTTTTTTCAAATTTTTATTTAAATTCTAGTTAACCTACAGTGCAATATTGGTTTCAAGAGTAGAGTTCAGTGATTCATCACTTATATACAATACCCAGTGCTCATCAATACCTAAGTGCCCTCCTTAATACCTATCACCCATCTAGCCCATTCCTCTCCTGCCTCCCTCTATCAACCCTCTGTTCTCTGTCTTCAAGAGTCTCTTATGGCTTGTTCCCTCTCCCCCAACCCTCACTCCCATATACTGATCTATTTTGTTTCTTAAATTCCACATATGAGTGAAATCAAATTTAGTATTTTTTTAGATTTTTTAATTCATTTATGATGGTCACACACACACACACACACACACAGAGAGAGAGAGAGAGAGAGAGAGAGAGAGAGAGAGAGGGGCAGAGACACAGCCAGAGGGAGAAGCAGGCTCCATGCACCGGGAGCCCGATGTGGGACTCGATCCCGGGTCTCCAGGATCGCGCCCTGGGCCAAAGGCAGGCGCTAAACCGCTGCACCACCCAGGGATCCCCACCAAATTTAGTATTTTTTAAATGATTAAGAATACTGTAGAAAAGTTTATGGAAAAAAATACTGAAACAGAATTATGATGATCATTAAAAGAATAACACTTTTGACCAAGTGGGGCGTGTTTTAGAACACAAAGATTAGTTATTAAGAAATGTGGAAATGTTAATTCAAGAGACCTAAAAAGAAAAATTATATCACCATTCCCATAAAATTTAAGAAAGCATTTGGAAAAATTAAACTCTAATTTTCAATAAAATAAGACTCAAAGGATACTCTGTGAACATAACAAAATCTACCTCAGTCCAGAGCCAGCAGCATGCATAATGGAGAAGAGACATGGCAGGCATTCCAACTCACATGTGTTGTGTTAGTCTTTCATTGTGCTCCTTATTTTTTATAGATGGAAAAAGATAAAATCAGATCCTTTCATCACATTATATTAAAAAAATTCCGGATTAAGGTATTAGATATTACAGAAAAGTCTTACTAGAAAAAAAGACAAAATATAGAAAAATTTCAAAATTAGGCTCCTGGGATCAGGAAAACAAGAATAAAAAATACAAGACACAAAAGGGTTGCATTACAATATAAAACTTTCAGGAAAGATATTATTATATTAAAAGACAAAACATATGAAGAGAAGATAATTACAACAATTTGAAACAAAAGATTACCATTAAAATACACAGGGAATTCTTACAAAACTCAGTAAACAACCTAAAAAGCCAAAAATTCATGAAAGTTGCACAAACTCAATAATCAGAAAAATGGAAATTAAACAGTGAAGTTTTTCAGTATTTAGTGTAAAAATAATTTTTATATCTAGGGAGAAGAGAGAAAAGTAGTCTTCTAATGAGTAAGTTTACCTAGAAAAATTAGAAATCTTCATATGCCATACCTCAAAAATATTAATCACTGGACTCTAGAACAGTCATTCTTTTTTTTTCTTTTTAAGAGCAGTTATTCTTAAACTTAATGCGTATCAGCATCCTATGGGCACCTCATTAAAAACGCGGATTGCTGGGCCTTGCCCCCCAAATTTCTCTTCTAGTAGTTTTGGAAGGGCGCATAAAAATCTGCATTTCGGATGAGTTCCGAGGTGACACTGCCATTTTTGGCTAAAGAATCTAACTTTGAGAAGCACTGACCCAGAATCTGGAGATACACTTGAATGTACGCAGAGAGAACAACGATATTCATAGCAGCGTTTACATTAATGCAAAGTGGAAATTACCAAAATGTCCACCAATAAAATATAGTATTTAGAATACAGTGCACCCATACAGTGGGAAAAACAGAGCATTAAAGGGGATAAGCTACATATGGATAGATCTCAAATTATTGGTGAACTAGGAGAAAAAAATGGCTATATTATATACATTAAGGTAACTGATATATTTTTAGAAGTCCTCAAAAACAATGAACAGTATTGTTTAACAATATTGTTTTGTTTTTCAATGTTCATGAAGAGATAAAATGATAAAGCTAGTAGACAAAAAACTGAAACTGAAACAACAGGGCACAATGAGGAAGACTCCAAGAAGGAGCCTCAAAAGAGTTGTATCGGAAGAGGATAAGGACAACTTGCTGGGTGCATAGTCAATAATGGAGCAGTTCTCCAAGGAAAGTAATTCCAACTGAAACACTGGCGACCTTTACCCAGAGAGATCTCAGAAAGTAGAGGGGAAAGAATAAGACAAAACTCTGTGGGATGAATCCGACTGGGAAGCTCAGACACATTTACCAGAGAATCTAACTCTGAACCATCTGCTGTGCAACTCATATACACAACCTGGCTAAAGTCGTTATGGAGAGTTTTTGTAACAGGCATGCAGGCCATTCATTCCTCTAAATGTATCAGGTTTTGTACTAGGATCAAACAAGACCATTATAAAATTAACTACCTGAACTAGCTCTTGGACTCTATTACTCACCATATGGAACAGTTTTAGGCATTCATTTCGGGGCTGTCACTGGAAGATCATCCACCATGTGTCCCTATGTTAAAAGTTATCTTCCAAGAAGTCTTTGTGTCTTAAAAAAAAAAACAGTCTATATCCAAAATACAGTGTCCTCCTTTTCCCAGGATTATCAGAAACATCAGAGATGTATCTCTGGACCAACTTAGAAACTCAGATATAGAATGATCAGTATTATATACAAGACAACCTGGCCCTCCTACTCAACTGTTACTTCATATTTTCTGTAAAGTTAGGTCTTTATCTATTACTTAACATATGGACTCGTACAACTCTCACAAAGTCCACCGTGAAATAAAGTGAGGAATGAACAACTTACCTGGAATTTGTTCATTTTCTGCTGTCTTGAAAAACGCAGGCAACTCTGAAGATATGTTGGGTTACAAGAAGAGGAACGGGGTCATGGAAGACCTGGCCTAACTGGGGGCTCCTTAAATCCTTGTGCCCTACAAAACTAGATATATCCGAGAGGGGAAGAATGTCAGTACCCCTGACCTTCAGAAGGGGCGGCAGGTGTTCAAAGATCACCTAACATGACTCCCAGGCTCTTGGGCATAAACATTTTTCGCTGGGCAAACGCATATACTTGCTCCCTGGGTATTTAACAGTTTAAACTTCCCTTGAAGCTCACAAAAAATCTTTAAATAAAAACACTGGTTCAAACAAAATATATACCCAGTGAAGAAACGTTGACTCTTCACCAAAACTGTTGTAAAACTACTCCCGACTGATCTTGTTTATCAGGTTTCCTAAACTTCTGGTTAGGGATTTCACAGAAAGCTGCGAAAAGCCGTGCTTTAAGGAAAGATCTGGGTTTCGATTTCTATACCTTGGTTGCCATTTCTCAAAACTATCTTTTTAATTTGTTTTTCCTTGCAAGGAAAAGCAGGCAGTTCTCTCTCGTGAGTCAAGGACACGACTTTTCCTCTTCGCCGCTAACGTACTGTGTGATTCTGAACAAGTCACTAACCTTCCAGAGGGGAAATTCTTTTTTTTTTTTTCTTTTAAATGAGACAACAGAATTCTTGAAGATCCTGAATGCGAGGGCAAGCGCACAGCAAGATGCAGTGATGGGCACGCCCGGTGAGCAGCTCGGACTCCAGGAAGGGTAAAGGGAGAACCGAGGGAACTGGGTCTCGCCGAGCGCTGCGGCAACCGAAAGCAGCCCTGACAGGTGCCCCGAGCCCCGGACCCCGCCGCGCACGCGCACGCGCCCTCCCCGCAGCGCCGTCCCGCTCGCACGAGGTGCGGACCCCCGCCGCGCACGCGCACAAGCGCTCCTACTGCGGCCTCTTGAGCGCGGCCTCAAGAAGCGCGCCGCACGCTCGCGGAGGAACTGGCGACCTGATGCCCCCGACCCCTAGTCCTGGTGGAGGTGTCCCTATCGGGCCGTCGGGGGAGTCCGCGGGCCTGCTCCACGCCCTCGGGCACCGACCGCCTACCCCGGACCTGCGGCCCCCAGGAGCGCGGCGCGCTCGCGGGCACTCGTCCGACCGTCCCGGGCTCACCTGTCGCTCCCTCGTCGCAAGGCACCGGCCCTAGGAAAGCGCAGAGACTCCGCGGCCCAAGAGAAACCTCTCACGCGAGACCCGAGGAAAACGGCGGCGGGGGGGGGGGGGGGAGGGACGGAAGCAAACAAAGGCAGAAGGAGGAACCGGGCATGCGCAGAGCGGGGAAGTCCGGGCCGTCCGCGCTGAGACTCCGCGACCTCTCCAGGCCGACACCCGGCGGGGCGGGATTGGCCGAGAGCTCGGTCCCGGTCCTCGCCCAGCGGGAGAGAGTGTGGGGCCCTGGAGATACCGACCGAGCAGCTAGAGCCCGCCAGGGGCTCCCCGCAAGCTACGGGTTACATAGCTGAGGTCTCTGTGCAGAACCTGCCTGGTAAGTTCACTCTCAAATACTGGGAAGTAGATTCCATCAATACAATAAAAAAGAACATTTAAAAAAAAAAAGTATCTGACACCATCAGGGATTCTGTGAGAAAATGAAAAGCCAAGGGGTGAGGCCGGACTCAAGAAAGCTAGTTCAAGAATCATGAAAGCAATAAATGAACGTTGTAGATAAATCAGAAAATTGACCCAGTCGAAAAAAGATAGACCTTTATTCATTTACATAAGCATATTCCTTCCTATGTGACATGAAAATTATTTGACTAAATGGAGAGCCACCCTTTCATAGAATGAGTCAATGTTCTTTGACAACATTCCACTAAGCATCTCAATAAACTTTTGTATATACTCGTTTCCTCTTTGATTTTTTTTTTTTTTTTTTTTTTGCGTACCTTAATGTGTTCTCTACAAAAGCATTCAGACCTGGGGGGGGGGTGTTGTCCAGTTACCACAGGCCTGACTTAAGGGCATGGCGGGGATAAGGCCTCTGGTGGGGGGGGGTCCCACCCCTGTTGTCAGAGAGGGATCAATATGGCTACATGTGGGAGAGCTAGTAGAAACCACAGAGTTAGGGAACTGCTGGGATTAGACACCAGTGATGGTTGCACAACTCTGTGAATATACTTTAAACCACTGAATTTTCTCTTAAAGGAATGAATTTAATGTGAATTATATCTCAATTTTTAAAATACTTAAAAAAAATAAAAAGCTGTAATGTACTACTAGTGGCCAAGGTGAAGGGCCATTGCCGGAGTAATGTTACAGAGAGCATCCTGCAAACAGGAAGAAGGAACTTGCTCCTCTAACACTGTCCTCCAAACTTCCTGTAGTTTGGAGGACAAAACAGCCAGCAGTCCCCTACAGCTCAATAGGTTAAGTGCCCTACTCTTGATCTCAGTTCATGTCTTGATCTCAGGGTCATGAATTAAGGACCCATGTTGGGCTCCACACTGGGTGTGAAGCCTACTTAAAAAAAAAAAAAAAGTGGTTTTGCAGAAGTACACTAACTTACATGGGGGTTGGTTACAAAATAAGAATTTGGTTTACACAAGAATATTTAAGACCACATTTAAAAAAAAATATACTGGAGAGAAGTGCTAGCCTGGTTCAGCTAATAGAGCATGCAATTCTGAATAAGAGGGTCATGAGTCTGAGCCCCATACTGGGTGTAGAGATTACTTTAAAAAAAATGTACCAGAGAGTGACATCAGCATGATGGCAGCGTTAAGATGTTGGTTCCTCCTTTTTCTCTACTACTTAGACATCCATCCATAAACAAAAATGTGTTGGTGGGAGTTGTGGAACCCAACACTATATGCCAAGAGACTCAGAATGAGTCTCCTCTACCTGTGTACCTACTAATAGGCAGGCAGACCTTAGTAAGTGTTGGGCCCAAGATTGCGAATCCGAGAAACCACCAGGAGCCGACACCGATGCAAAGCACACAAGGGTTTATTAGCAAGCTGGAGCTTGGGTCCAAGTATATCCGACACAGCGGAGCAGGGACTTGGACCCCGAAGTGGGTTACAGCTGGGTTTTTATGGGCTGGTCTAGGGGATTTCCAGAAGGGGTGGAGGAATTTCTTAAGCTCTGTTTTCATTTCAATACGGACATTCTGTCAAGGGCGTTCTGTGTTTTTTCCTGTAACTGAAGTAGGGTAAAGTTCAGCTCTTGTTCACAGGGGCCTGAGATGGCTGTACTTGGGCTTACGCTAAACTTGAGGTGGAATGGCCTTAATTTTCTGCAGCACAGTAAGAGCTGCAGAACCAAAACAGCCAGCAAACCTGTCCCAGTGTCTTTTGCCTTGGCTGGGATAACAACCTGGAGAGGTCTCACCTAGGACAGATGAATGGTAAAGAAAATATAAACACACACCCACACATACACACACACGAGAATATGATTCAGCCACAAAAAGGGAAAACCTGCCATCTGCAATAGGGTTACACCTTACACCTTGCGGGCATTATGGTAAATGAGATAAGTCACACAGTGAAAGACAAATATTGTATGACCTCACATGTGGAATCTTTAAAAAAACAACCACCACCAAAATCATAGTACAGATTGGGGATTGCCGGAGCCAGGGTATGGGGAGTGACTGTAACCAAAGGAGATGAAAAAGTACAAATTACCGGTTACAAGAGAAATAAAGGCCAGGGGATATAACGTTTGGTATAGTAACTATAGTTAACAATCCTGTATTGTATTTTGAAAGGTGTGAAGATAGATCTTAAAATTTCTCATCATAAGAAAAAAACCTGTAACATTTTGTGATAAGGATGTTAACTATGCTTATTATGATAATCATTTTACAATATATATATATGTGCTAAATCATTATGTTGTAAACCTAATCTTACAGTGTTTCATGTCAATTACATCTTAATTTTAAATACTTTCCAAAGCCACTTATATATTCAATGCAATCCTATCAAAAATTTAATGGCATTTTTCACAAAATAAGAAATAAAATGTGTATGGAACCATAAAGACCGTGAATAGTCAAACCAATCATGAGAATGAACCAAGCTGCAGGCATCACACTTCCTGATTTCACACTATACTACAAAGCTGTAGTAATTAAAATGGTATGGTATTGACATAAAAGTAGCCAGGTAGACTAATGGAATAGAATTAAGAGTCCAGAACTAGACTCATGCATTTATAGTGAACTAATATTTGACAAAGGATACAAAAATGCTCAGTGTGAAAAAGACAGTCTTTTCAATAAATGGTACTGGGAAAATAGCCACAGGCAGAAATATGAAACTGGGCCTCAGTCTTATACCACTCAAAATTAACTCAAACTGGGTTGAAGACTTTAACATTAAGACCTGATAACCATAAAACTCCTAGAAGAAAACATAGGGAAGAAGCTCCTTGACGATGGTCTTGGTAACGATTGTGTGGACATGGCACCAAAAGCCCAGCAACAAAGAAAAACAATCAGCAAGTGGGAGTATATTAAACTAAAAAGGTGTTTTGCTACACAGCAAAAGAAACTTTAAAAAGATGGAAAAGCAAAATAGGTGAAAAATATTTGCAAACTATATATCAGAAAAATATACAAGGAACTCTTATAACTCAAAAACAATGAAAATCTCATTTAAAAATAGGCAGAAGTGAGCCGCCTGGGCAGCTCAGTCGGTTGAGCATCAGACTTCTGATTTCACCTCAGCTCATAATCTCAGGGTCATAATCTTAGGGTCAGGAGATCCAGCCCTATGTTGGGCTCCAAGCTCAGTAAGGAGTCTGCTTGAGATTCTCTCTCCCTCTGTCTCTCCACCCCATTCTCTCTTTCTGTCATAAATGAATGAATGAATGAAAACTTTCTTAAAAACTAAAAAAGAGCAGAGGTGCTAAATAGGCATTTTTCCAAAGTAATTATCTACATGGCCAAGTACATAAAAAGATGCTCAACATCACTCATCATCAGTGATATGCAAATGAAATCCAAATGAGAGACTACCTCATACCAGTTAGGATGGCTAATAACAAAAACACAAGAAATAACATGCGCTGGCAAGAATGCAGAGAAAAGGGAACCCTTGTACACTGGAATGTATATCAGCATATCTACTATAAATAACAGTATGGAGGGTCTTTATAAATTTAGAAAAACAACTCTCATATGACCCAGCAATTCCACTAGTGAGTATATACCCAAAGAAAATGAAACAGGACACTGAAGAGATATATGCACTCCCATGTTTATTGCATTATTAGTCACAACACGCAAGATAGGGAAACAACCTAAGTGTCCATCAACAGATGAATGGATAAAGCAGGTGTGCTATATGTATACGCACACACACACAACAGAGTATTATTCAGCCATGATTTAGTAGGAAATCTTGTCCATTTGCAACATGAATGGACCCTGAAGGCATTATAAGAGTGAAGTAAGTAGGAAAGGGAAAGACAAATACTATATGATATCATTGATATATGGAATCTAAAAAAGCTGATCTCACAAAAACAGATTAGGGAATGTTGGTTACTGAGGGCTGGGGTTTTAGGGAACAGGAGAGATGTTGTTTAAGGGTACAAACTTAGCAACTACTAGATACCTAGTAGTCCTGGAGATCTAACGCACAGTATGGTGACTATAGACAACAATCCTGTGTAATAAACTTCCAAGTTGCTAAGAGACTGTATCTTGTTTCCACTACAAAAAAGGAACAATAATTATGTGATGTGAGAGGTATTAGCTAAATCTATGGTGGTAATCACATCACAATGTATAAATGTATCAAATCAATGTGTTATACACCTTAAACTTATGTCATATGTCAATTATATCTCAATAAAAATGTACCTACTTATCTTAAAGAAATGAAAAATAAAGCAAATCATACTCTACATATTTCAAAATTAACTTTTTTATAGGTGTTTTAATTTCCTTTTGCTGCCATAACAGATTACTACAGTGGTTTAAAACAACACAAATTTATTATGTTACATTATTAGAAGTCCCAAATGGATTTCTTTTTTTAAATAATAAATTTATTTTTTATTGGTGTTCAATTTACCAACATACAGAATAACACCCAGTGCTCATCCCAAATGGATTTCACTTGGCTACAATCAAGTTGTCAGCAGGGCTGCATTTCTCCTGGATGTTCAACAGGAGGGAGAATCCACTTCTTTGCCTTTACCAGTTTCCCTTAGGGGCTGTCCTTCGTTTGTCCCGCATCACTACCTCTG